CCCCCCCCCCCCCCTCCTTCCTCGCCGACGGACCTCTTAACCCTTTGGAAAGAGATGCATTCGACGTTATTACGTGTACCCCGACGATCACCGAGGGCGCTTTACACATGAGACGTGTGTTGATACATTATAGGCTCCGCGCGTATATTTTAGCTCCGCCGTTAAAAATAGAACTTGACGGACGAGGATGACGTTTCGTGTTTGCAAAAAAACACAGGGCGTAGAGAGGGAAAAGAATCGCCGCTACGGGAACTCTCCTCGCTTCGGAATTATTATCGACATTTGAATAATTCGTCACGCGGTTGTAAAGTGGACTTTAAAATGCTGATTCTGTTTACTCGGGACTTAGTGTATTTTATGTATTTATAGATTATAGCATTGTATGTAATCATTATATGAATATCTATATGCGTGTCATATATACGTTGATGATATCGTTCCGTTTGTACTCTTCAATTAATCATATTAATTTTTTTCCGGGGTTACCGATACACGGTCGTTTCTATCAATGTTATAACTTTAGTTACACTGAGGGAAGTGTTTTGCACGAAACTTGCAAAATATTTTCATTTAATTAAAAAATAAGTTCATAAGTCACATATCATACGAAACATTTCTCTCAATATACTCTTCTAATTTTTTTTTCTAATTCTTAGATTTAGAAAAAAAATTGATAAAAAAACGATTTTGCTAAATTATCCAAAAATTTATGTAGATACAGATCTGAAAATTTTGGACTGTCTAAATAATTACATAACAATCTCAAGCCTGATGAGCGATGCAACAAGTTTTAACATTCTAGCAACCAGTTCGAGCGCCCTACATTATTTTGATGATTCAACAAAATTATTTTCAGATTTGTATCCAGCTGAATTTCTAGATACCTCAGTAAAACTGTCCTTTCCGTGTAAAGAGTTAGTTGAACCGGGAGATTAAAATTAAACCACATTGAGAGATAGAAACGGGCAATAATCGTGTCCGGCATTAACTTTCCCGCGACATTTCAGGGTCAATGCAAGCCACGTGCGTTTCGAAAGCACACGCGAACTTCGAATCTCGTAAACAATGTGACATCATCTACTTATAATATATCATACTTCGTCCCCAAATTTTGCTTAATTTTCCACAAATACAGGCAAATCATTTTTTTTTCCGCGATAACGTGCATTGTCCTCGATTCTCGACTAAAAAAAGACTCGATATCGGCGCCCAATAGAAACATAAATGCGGAATATCGTGTTTGAAAATTCGACTTATCCACATTTATCTAATCATTCATACGTATATAATCGTAAAGACCCCCAAGGTTCCGGGACGGTGGGCGCCGAAGTTTCGAAAGTTTCCGGATGGTCGGGGAGCATTTGGAATGTATCTCGTTGACGAAGTAACGAGCGTACGTGAGCGGAAACCCGTCGAGGTCCATCGCACGACGCGCGTACAAAGGCGTCGCGCCAAATGCGAGTAATTGAAGCAAGTATGTATTCCGCTCGCTCGCGGCGAATCGTGACTGCGATTAGAGAAGCACAGTGAATGCAACGAGACGTACGGACGCGTCTGATGATCGGAGTGAAGAAAAAGATGATCGTATATTATGTGCGCGGCGTCATATATCGTACGTTGTATTCTCGGAACAACCTGCTCCACTTAATCCTTCGAGTCGCGCTGACAATTCTTGGAAGATTTATCTCATCATACGTTAAATGGAATTGATAAAGGAAAAAAAAAAAAAAAAAACGGAAATTACAAATTTCCGCGTTGATGCGAAAGACTTGTCATTTTTCCATCGAGAGAGCTTTGTGTTGAATCAAATTAAAGAGTCAAGGTTCGTAGAAAACAGGAATGGAGAAAGGACTGGGTTGAATGGAAGAAGTGGCTTCGGTTAAATTGGGTGAAGCTGTGATATTTTGTATATTATAAGGCGCTGTGATCAAAAGTCTCCATAAATATATAAAAAATGGACAGATTTTTACCTTTGATAATTGATATTGTGAATCTAATAATCTAATTGGATTGAACAGTATTTTTATCAACGCGGAGAACATTGTTTATAAAAAAGTTATGCAACTTGCAGTATGCAATTACATGTTTCTTTTTTTTAAACACAACACACATTTGGTGTAAAGAAAACACTGTAAAATAGCAACTTTCATATAATGCTACAGCAAAATCTATCCTGTTGTGTCTGTGGAGACTTTTAAATAGCATCTTATAATTTACAAAACATCACATTTGCAGTTAATTTGATTAAAGCTGTACCTTTTCCATATGTAGTGCGGAAATTTCCTTTCTCTCGAGACGAGAAAGAAAATGTACTGACGTCCGTAATGACTATATTGCTTCGATTTCGTGGAAGTTCTGCTTTCGATTTTTTATTTGACGAGCACATATGAACGAGTATATGACAGACATTTTGTGACAATTTAGTACTATTAAAATGTTCAATTGCGATGTTTTTACCCGTAGATTACGGGGAGAGGCACGAGGGGTATACGTGTGGGGACTGTAATGTTGACAGAAATGATATGCTGTATGCGACATGATAAAGCGTAGTGGCTGAAAAAAAAGTAATCGGTCGGCGATACATAAAACATCGGGTAAACGATCGGCGCGTGTCGAAGGCCAATGACGATACGACGCAATACGGTAACGTGGCCCTGTCGTGATGATATGTCGCCGTTGTCGTGGTCGTTACTCGTTTATGCGACCTGTGTGTTAATCGCTTCGGCTGCTTCTTAAGTGACTCGTCGAGTAAACATTATCAAAATGCATCACCTCGTGACGACGTGCGAACAATCGTTGCGAATAAAGCCGACTTTTCGGCGTACATAATGATAAGCTCCTACGAAATCGAGTAACGATGCTGTCATCGATCAAAAATTTACATTGTTATACATACATCAGAGTTGATGAAAACGTTTATGTTGATTCTATATTGAGAAAAATCTGATAATGGCTACCAAATGTTGAATGAAACCATTTCCATCAAATATTCGATTAATAAAAAAGGAATTTTTGTGTTCCAAAATAGTTTAGCAAGTATTATATTACCAAACATAATGATGTAATCAACCATTTAGTAACACTTGTTAAATATTTAAGGGGGTAAAATTATTTTGGTTATATTAACTGAATATTTGATTAGAATTATTTATCTTAATATGATAGCTGTTATCAGATTGTGAGGCGAGATGACAATTCCATGAAGTTTTGATATTTACAGAATTATCTCCAAGCAATGGAAACTCCTTTGGATTTCTATTCAATTCTGTATCGGATAATTGATACTAGAGAATATTTTCAGGAACAGGCGTTTCTACTTAGAGAAGTCAAAGGTCAAATATATTTAACTTCATAACGACTAGAAGGTATTTTAACTCACTCTCTGAATCTCCTCACCGAGGCGCAGATCCACGTAGGATCTCTTGGAGATCTCGATTCAAGGTCTATCGAGCAAACTCGAGAAACGCCGTTACTGACGTAATCTAACGTGCGGATAACGATTTGCTCATATTCTCGCCTCGTAATCGTTTCGCTACCATTATCGGTATCGGCGAGAAAAACGACATTTATTTCTGCTCGCCAATGAAGTCATTGTGCTATAAAGGCGATTATTATAAGGGGGAAACATTCCGCGCAGATTGCACACGGCAAAAAGTGGACGTGGGCAAGGACAATCTCAACTCACGATAAATTACGATCGCTCGTCGTGTCACGCCACGTATCGATCACTCGCCCTTCACCCTCGGAGAAATCCCTGACAAGCTCGCTCCCGTGTCATTCATTCTTCTTTGATTCAGAAGCTCGTATTTTGATTTAACAAAAAAAAAAAAAGAGAAAAAACCACCGATATAATATGTACGAAAAAAAACCGCGTTCAACAATTAGATAACGTGTGTTTTAATTCGATGATTGCTTCACTGTTCATTCATTCCATTCTATTTTTTTCTACTCGGTCTTTATTTTGTCTTATTAAAGACAATTCTAAAAAAAAAAGGCGCCTGAATAATACGATCGTAATTTGAAAGAAAAAAAATGATATATATGTTTGAGAAAAAAATGGAAAAGAAGCAAAGTAAACAAATAGAAGATGGAACGCAAAAAATAAAACTGCATAATTTTTATTTATTGCACTTCATAATTATTGCGTCTTTTTTGAGTGAACTCGTGAATGTTGTGTGAATGTATTCGCTTCGAAAAGTTCCCAGGGCTCGATATTTAGAATATGGTTGTTTGTTAAGATATATAATATGTATAATATATAAAAGAGCATGCATTTGACGGTATATAATATACATTTTCAGGTGCATACGTTGGGCCATCCATACCGTTGGCACCTGCCAATGTCGCGGCCAACGGTGGAGGATCGCCTCTTCGTCCAAGAACGAGTCCTCCACCACCGCCACCTCCTAGCCAGGAAGGCGCCAACGATAATTCACAATCGAATCATCATCAGGTACGCACGAGATACATGTTAATTATCTAACAGCTTCAGCCAGCCAACCCATTTATGAGCGACGATCCATATTTATCCGCGCACAATCAACGTTTCTGCGCGCCTTCTGGCCTGCTGAACTCCCACGCAAATCCATTATAAGCTTGTAATCCTAGAATGCCAGCTGACGGGTGACACTTCTTCTTTCAGGGCACAGCGAATGGTCCGTCACCAATGGCCGCTCTGATGTCAGTCGCTGACAATCTAACATCGCCTGAGCCGGTACCACAGCCGCCGAACAATCCCAGTCCTACCAGCAGAAGTCCGCCGACTACGGCCACGAACGCTCAGCAACGCAGTGCTTCTAGAGGTTCTCAGCACAGTCCAAACAGTTCAGGTAATTTTAGTGTAGTATTCTATTTATATCTTCATACATTTTATCTATTATCTTGATACAATCAAATTTACACGAATTATATTTGTATCTTATCAGGCTCTTGACGAATCATATGATGTATAATATAAAAATAATTCTTTTAATGTTAGAATCAAGCTTTTTGTAAGATTAAAATGCAACAAGGGATATCAAATAACGATTGCGAAAAAATTGTATTTAAAGGTTCATCGGGTAGACGGTCCAGTAGTTCAAGGCAGGTGTCATCCACGACCGTGACGACATCTTCTGAGGGCGCGGCTGCTCAACCGACTACCGGTGCCGAAACGGTCCCCGCACCGACTCTCAAATGTACTCTGTGCCAGGAACGCCTGGAAGACACGCACTTCGTGCAGTGTCCTAGCGTACCGCATCACAAGTTCTGCTTCCCATGCAGTCGAGACAGCATAAAGAGACAGGGTGCCGGTTCAGAGGTGAGTATCTGTGGATATTGCACTTTGATGCCTTTCCCAAATATTCCACCAACAATTCTCATCGATGTCCTTTCTTGTTTTTTTGTTTCAGGTTTATTGTCCAAGTGGTGAGAAGTGCCCGCTGGCGAACAGTCAGGTACCGTGGGCCTTCATGCAGGGTGAGATAGCTACCATATTGGGCGAGGATTCTTCAGGCACTGGGCTGAAAGTCAAGAAGGAAAGAGAATCTTAAAGACCCTCTTTCAATGTCGAATCAGGGCTCAAATTTTCTGTTCCTCTTCGTACGTAGAGGGGCTGTTATATGGTTGGAACCGTGAAGGGTTTCACCGCAAGCTTTTGGTAACGGTGATAAAGACTCGTTGGCGACACACGGAAAAGCCAACGAACGATTCGAGCCAAAGACGTTGTCTGGTGCGATGCGGATTCTTACGAAGTTGTTAATGTCAGGGGAAATACTATACGGGAGGGGAGGGGAAACGAAAGAAAGGATGGGTAAGGTTGGGGGGGGGAGGGAAAGTGGACGATTTGATTTTATTCGAAACCGCTAGTTGATGACGCGTTTTGGTAATGTGATCGGTCTCGTACGGCATTTTATCTTTTGCGACCGGTTTTGAGAAGAAGTCTTTGGCAACTCGCATATTGGCGGTCGATAGTTCTGCTGCACACATGTACATATGAATTTCGTAGAGATCGGTTGAATCAACACGACGGAAGCAGCGTATTATTTTTCGCGGATTAGAGGAGCAGTGCGCGACGTTGGGATCGCGACGATGATGCTGATGATAATTTGTTGCCCGGTTGGGTTTGTACTTAGGCTCGATATGCCTTTCTTCATTGTCTCTTGTATCGCGAGCATAATTGCTCGCGTTATTTTACACACACTTAGACACACACAGACATTACAGACATATACAGACGTACACAGAAACTTACACACAGACAATTATATACTGAACCGCATACACAACAACACATTTCACGCACACTTCGAAACGGAAACTTGACTTAGTATTGCGAAACGCACGCGACCGCAATGTACTTTTATTTTTTTTTTCGCGCGCGTCCAATCGGATGATTCGTGAATTCAATCAGGAGACACGGTCGTGTCTCAGCGCTAAGAGGAAGTGTAGCGATAGCGCGAGACCATTACCGTGTCTCTTTATTAATGACTAACGCGAGAGACAAGTATTGTCTCCGCGGCTATCGCCGCCCCCTTTTTCTATTCTTTCGTTTGTATACTCTTTCTACCTATACTCTTCACTCGTTGTATTATATAACAAACATACGGCGAACACATATTCGGACCCAGCGCACGGGTTTTCTGTACATTATGTATATGTGTACATACCTACATTATTAATATAAAGCGTATAACTAAAAGAATTTTTAATGTTTTTTAAGTGTACAAAAATCTATATTCGTTTTTGCGTTTTGTCTTATTAAATTATTATTATCCTCTCTGTCTCTCTCTCTGTTTCTTTCTCTTTTATTTCTTTTTCCTTTATTTTCGCGAACGAAATATGTCGTTATCTCTCCGAAAGACGCTTTTTTGACGCGTAGAGACACACGACGTCTGTCCTTATTTGTTTTCGGTTTCTCGCTCGCGATGATACACGCCGTTAAGTTTTACTCGCGCTTTTTACAATCTCGCTCGTCCGGTCTTCGGGGGGAAAATAACAAGAAAAAAAAAAAGTAGAAGAGTCACGTGAGATACGTGAGCACATCGCGCCATCCAATCACTCCGCGAAGCGGATTATGTAATATGATAATATGTCCGACTGTACAACGTCCACTTTCGCCTTTAGTTTATGCGCTAGACCTTAAGTCGAGGGCCTTTTGGTTTTTCATTTTCACCGATGAAAAAGGCACGCCCGTCAAAATAGGAACCACATACTCGCTATGTCTAAACGATAAAAAAAAAAAAGAGTGAAGGGGAAAAAAGGCAGGCAGAGGCACTCGCTGGACGCGCCCGAGGGGGATCTTCTTCCGTGCTACGGTCAAGCAATTTCTCGCGAAAAGGGGTATCCCCTTTTTCTTGGGCGCGCGCGCGCGGGCGGCTCCTTTTGTATATATTTGTACAAAACAGATCGGCACACACACACACACACACACACACATACATAAGCGAAAGGGGAGCGGTTGTCGGAAGTTGTCGCAGGATAAAGCACTCGGAAAAATAGAAGATTAAAAAAAGAGAGACTACACTTATATCGTGCTGCGGATGGATTTTGCCGAGATATCCTTCGTCTCCTTGTCGACAGCATGCTCCCTCGTTTTAACGACGACGGATGATACTTCGAAGCTCATTTCGGACGTCCTCCGTTTAAAGTGCGTTTAAACTTGTAATGTTTTTTTACGTCACATCACGTATCACAAAGTTATCAATAAGATGATACATCGAGATGTTATGATCGCATTCGTCGCGGTCGTAATTAAAACTGACAAGTAAAAAGTAAATATATGATCGAGAGTGACACGAACGCAGGAGTGAAGCAAGTATTATATCATAGATTGTTAAATATATTTTATTTTTTTCTATGTCGATTTTAATGTCAAGAGTTAGATATAAAATATATTAACATATACTCTCTAAAAACTTTTAGAATAAATCTCTGAAGAACGAAATTTCATTCTTAAAAATTGAATGTTGAGCACACTCTGTCTCAAGATTTTCCTCGCGGATTACGATCTTTTTGACAATACGAGCTAACGTTACAAGTTTAGACGCGTTTTAGCGTCGTGAAAAAGCCACCGACGGCGACGAACTAGACATCAAGGGAAGCGCTCAATAGTAATACTTCTCACAACTGTAACGCGGCACTCGCCATTGAGTTACGGTCCAAGAAATAACTCTTCTTCGGAGACAACTCCTGGCCGAGATTCAGTGGTGACAGCTCGCGACATCTTCCTTACGCATGATATCTGTTTTCTCGCTCGCGCGGCCCGCGAGCTCGCGCTCTCCTTTTAAAACATATTAAAACTGTAAATCCTTGTACCGGAAAAAACGAGAGATTCTCTCTCGATGACGAGGGCTTGATCGTCGCGTGTCATATCATCCTCTGTGTCCGATTGCGTCACACTTTCCGTATATTTGTATTGTATTTTTCTTTCTGTCTCTATTTTCGATCTCCATCAAGATAATTCCGCAGGAGGATCTCTGAACACTGACAAGAGTCTGGTAATAGCTACTAAATGTTGAAAGAAATAATTTCAATCAGATATTCAGCTAATATAATCAAAAGTAATTTTACTTTCCTAAATATTTAATAAGTATTATCAAATACTAATATTTATCATTATAATTAATACTTATTCTCTAAAATTATTAAAGTAAACTTTACTCTGAATAGAAAAGAATATTAAATTTATTAATTTAAGAAAATAAAAATTTCTTTTATTATTATAATTTATGAAAATAAAAAATACTTTTAATTATATTTATTAATAGAATATTTCACTCAATATTTGATAGCTATTACTAGACTTTTTTCAGTGAATTATCTTGTTTCATGCTCGATCAGGATTTTGTTTCTCGAGATAGATTGTTGTGTAAAACTCTGCGATACAAATTAATTGTTATCTTCCATCTATCTCTATTGCTATCGTTACTGTCATTATCGTAATCGGATGACCGAGGATGAGCGGAATTAGGGTGCGCAGGAAATAACGGTGTGTGGAGTGTTAAGATGATGCTCGGGATTACAATCGAAATGATCCCGAAGTGAATACGAGCTTTTACAACTCGCTCATTTTCCATTCGAGTGTCCATTATTGACGACGATCGAGCCGCCTAAAATCGCCAATCTCGGCTTTTCTCTCTTCGATGAAGCGCGCACGAAGAGACGCGCGATAGTCCTTCCCTGATCGAAAGCGAAAGAAACGAGGAACATTCTCGCTTGTATCGTAATTCGTTTCGTTTGTCTCCTATCGTCCTTCTTTCTGTTTATTTTCCTTTTTTTCCTTCCTTCTTGAACGATTCTCGTATAGCTAACGCAAATACACAAAGTCGAAGAGATATGACGAAACAATATGTCGAATAGCAATTGTAGTAGTGGATAATGAAAATTTTCTAGTATACCATACCTCGAGGAACGCGTAACATTGTACTGTTTATCGTATGTATGCAACAAGCAAAAACAAAATATATGTGTTGATGTGAATAAATGTGTTTCTTTTACTTCCGCAACCACCACCTCCTTCGCACGAACTTCCGCCGTCAAACTCACAACGTACCTATTCGTTTGCGTATTAATAGATACAGAAATTTGTTGTCAAGAAGGTCGTTGGCTTGCCACAAGCGAAAAAAAATTGTTTTTTCTAGTTAAAGAAAAGATAAAGTATTTATTTTAATAATATTAAATAATTAAAGAAAAGATAAAATATTAAATTAAAAAAAAAGTATTTTTAAATACAAGGTAGACTTGGATAAGATAGCTGGGGAAGATAACCACAGACCTTTAGAATGACTAAGAGTACAAAAATGTTCTATTTATTTCAATTATTATATTAAAGAAATTACAGCCTATGGCCATCATTTTCGTGTGGCCATAATACCCTAATTTATCTTATAAATCATAAAATATTTTATTTAAAATTATATTAACACAAAAGAATAATTGAATCTATAGGTTTTTATTATATATTTAGGAGTTTTTAAATTAAAAAGTATTTTGGAATATCAACATGAATCCGTCAGTGTTTTGCGAGAACTGTTCGATAACAGTGAAACGAAATTTGACAGTAAAAGTTTATACGAACATGATACACATGTGTTATGTCCTCCTTTATTTTTCATGCTTTTAATATGTCGTCGAACATGACAAATGCGCAAATTAACCGTGACATGTCAATTTTCGTCACGTTTTTATTTAGTCGCAGCTTTAGCCTTTCATTTTCTAAGATTAAACGGTAGCGTGCCTCTCGTAGTTAATATTTACGGTTTAAATTCAAAGGTTGCTATGAAAAGGATCGATTTGGTAAAACGAGACGAAATTTAGATATTATTTGATCACCTTAAATGCTCATTTCCGTTCATTTCTACCAATGTAGGTTAACTTTAATCATTTCAATTTGCACTTTATCTTTTGTTAATTCTTAGAATTATACTGAGAGAAAATTGTGTTAAATTTTAATAAATATTTAAATATCAGTCGAATATTTATTGATATAAGGTCCATTAATTTGATTTAACTATTACATTTTTTTAGTTAGTAAATATTTATTTTCCGTAAATAAATGTTATTAGTACTATTCAAACAATTATTTAATACATTTTCTTTCAATGTAGAAAAAAAATTAAAAGTTAATTAAATCGAGATTAATTACATTTGCAGAAACGGATATTACACATAGACCTCAGCAATTATATTTTTATTCCTCAGAGTATTGTGAGAATCCGTCTTATATATCGTATGTCATATACAGGGTGTTCGTAAAAACCATAATGTTTAAGGATAGATTCCTAAGATCATTCTGAACAAAAATGTTAAGGCTACAGCAATTCTTGAATTGTAAGCATTTCAGATTGATGAATCGCCTAAAGTTTACGCGTTTAAGTGTGGTTGGTATTTTGCGTTGTACCATAAATGAGAGCGTGAACTTCAAGATGGTGTACGATTCGTTAACTTCAAAAGCTTTTAATTTAAAACCTATTATATATTATTAAATATAAAAACTACTATATATATAGAGCAATATAACTTTTATATAATATCTCTATTATAACAGTTATACATATATATAATATATGGTCTCGACATTTTGGTATAAGGAGTTTCGTTTCAAAGTGATGTCAGGAATTTACCCTTAACCGCGTTGTTATGGTCTTTACGGGACACACTATGTATACGCCGGAAAATGTATACAGCGACCTTAAGTCCGAACGTTTTGCCCGGGGTCCGCAGTCGAGGGGAGGGCGACGAGTCCTCCCGAACCATGAAAATCAATGCCAATATTCAGCTGGGTGGGATGAAGGAAGGAGAGCGGAACGAGGAACGCAACGTAGCGGAATATTGATCTGTGCACGTTCCAGACGGCTCGGAAGGCACCATCTCCCCGCGCTGTTGTATATAGCGTTGCGCGATGACTCCGCGCGCTTAAAGCGGATGAGGAGTAAATTATTCAACCTGCCCTGTGATATATGCGACGAATGGACCGGGTAAATAAAATCGATCTTCCCCAGATAGTACTATACATATATTATTATGTGAAACGTGGCTCCCGAATCGTCTCTGCGAAATTAGATTAATCCATCGGAACCGGAAATGTAATTTTCCCGCTGCAGACATTGATTAAAAATGAAAAGGAGGGAAAATTTCCGAAAAATTTCATGCTCGTGAAAAATCGTGACAGCAATGCTATAA